TTGTGAAAAATATGCATATCTCCCAGAAAAGTCAGAAAAAGTTATGATGAAAAAGGAAACTTTATTTGAGCTCAGAAAGTATATAATTTATGTTCGATTATATACATTATGATTTGAATTATTTTTTTATTTACCTAAAAAATAATCGATATTGCTCCATATTTATATACTCCTAATTTTAATTTGTACTTATCTATTGATCTATTAATTTTGATTAAAATTAATTCCTTCCAGAACTAAATACATTTCATTTAATTATTTCCATATTATATTGCCGATGGCTTACCGACCAACATACTATGCGAATTATTTTCATAGGCGCAGTTATTATTTTGTTTTATTTGATTGGAAAAAATAGATTGTTAAAAACATACCAGTCCATATCTGTCCTTTTTTTTCTGGTATTTTAAATGTTCCTCGGATCCTTTTTTTTTTTTTTTTTTTTTTTTTTTTTATGACTGTTTTCTCCCAATTCCTAGCGCCGTGAGAATGGAAGATTCCCAACACCCTGATGTAAGACCACCGCAGCGTGAGAATGGCGTGCCTTTGTCAAGTTTTTGTACCTGTGTTTAAATTTATAAGTTCATTTTAAAATGCCCCTGGTGCAGGTAGTAGGGGATGTACCCTGATAGCCGACCCCCCACCATTCTTGTTAGCAGTGAAGTACGTCGGCTTGCTCAGTGTTAGTACGGTAACAGGTTTGGGTATCTCTTCTCCAAGGGCGGCCGATTCATAAAACCGATTCATGCCTGTCTGCCCGTCTTGTTTTATCAGGATTACCAACTCTACTCAGGTAGTTTTTTTTTTTATTTATAGGTCTTCTTTTTTTTTTTTTCTTTTTTTATGTTGTCAGCGGTTGAATACAGGATTGTAATCTTTAGTTTGATAACAGATATCATTATCTTCAAAGGGCATACCATTCAATAATGATAATCATTAAATATAAATAAACTAAAATTTATTATAGATACAATAAATAATGAATAGACAAACTGAGTACGCAGCTGTTACAGTAGAACACGTGTGATGTGTCGGCCGTTTGACTCCAACGGTTTCTTGAAATTAAGCAGATCACTTTCAGTTAATTTTGTAAATGGCTATAATTTTGACTATTACTGATATCTTTTATCTAGTTTGTTGTCTAAGATTTAGTATCAACAATTTTTTTTAGTATATATTGATGATTTGACACATTTACATATATATATTTTTGTTTATTATATACACATTTTCGGATTTATAGTTTATAAAACAAAAGAATACAAACAGCAAAAATTTCAATTCACATTTGGATCTAAGAAGACAAAAATATAACAAAGAATTGTAGTTTGAGCTACATTTCTAATCTAAACTAAATGTTTATGGAAAAATTCCGACTAGCATATACTCCTTCAATGAGTTTTATTTATACTTATCAACTAATTTTTTTACGGAATGATTTAATTAACTGTATCTTTAATTGCTGATTTGATAAAACTGTAATTATCTTATTTTTAGTATATTTAAAATTAAGTATATTTGATTGGTTAATTCTTCTCTGAATATCTCGAAAATAACTATTTAATACAAGTATAGCAATCAATGGCTACATGGAAATATGTTTAAAACCACTGAGATTGATACCGATTAGTTTAACGATTAGCCATGGACATAATTATAAAATTAAAAATAATTTTATGATTGTTTGTAAATTATAAACTTATATACTATTGCGACTCGTTCATAGTATTTATATAATTGGTTTGATGAGATTTCTTCTGTAATAATCGTTTCACTAAATTTATAATTAAAAAATCTATCCTTAATGATCCATGTTGCTACTCAATCGATTTTTTAAACTCAATTAAGCTAACAATAAATTTAAATTGAAACATTATACACTTAATGCAATCTATGAACACAGTGAATAATTTGTTTAAAAAACCGATTCCACAGAGAAACCCATTTACATTACCTCACCAAATTAAGTTGGCATTATTATTATATTAATTAATCTATGTTACCATTTGTCTAATAATAAAAGTTGTATTTAAGACTTATCATGCATGAATGATCTATAAAGTTGTAATTGAAGTCCGCTAATCGCTAAAAAAGACACAGTTTTACAACGCTTATAAGTTGTTTAGAAAGAATCAACTAAAAAAAAAATCCTCTCTTACAAATATAAATCCAAGCTTTTAAATTTGTTCACAAGTTTTGATAGTATGAGCTGATAATGATAATGTCATTAGTCGCATATTTTTGTTTGTTTACTCTTGATTTAATATAAATAAATATATATATATATATATATATATATATATATATATATATATATATGGTTAAAAATGCAACCCTATACTTCAAATGTGTTGTAATAAAAAGTTGAATTACGATAATTTAAAAAAAAAGAAAGTAATAAGAACATTTATTAATCATTTACAATAAATGAATGAAAGTAATAATCATTTACATCTTTACATCGGAAGTATGACCATCATCACATTATAACTATTTTTTTTGCCAATTTAGCATTATTACACATTTGTATATAAATATTATTAATGTACCAAAGGTGTAGATAAATACCTCCAAAACCACAGGTACCGAAGTTTATCTATTCCTGGACAAAATTTGTAAACGATTTTTACATTAAAAATACGCCCTCATATTTTTCGCTTTATTTTAAATTACTCAATTAATAAAAATTCTAAAAATAATAATATATAAATTCATTGTCAAGACTTTTTTTCGTTGACTAGTTAATTTCATAACATATAACGCCTAGGGTTGGGAAGGAAAACAAGAGTGTATATGGGCAATTCAGTAGGATCTCCATAAGTTTTAGAACCTCAGCACTAAACAAATTTTGAGAGAGCTAACATAATTTTAAAAGACCCTATCTCTATTTTTCATATGGAGGAACATCTATCTATACAAACTGCTCTCTTGTAAAGTTACAATATAATGTGACATAGTGTCTTGTACCTCCGAACTAAACGAAATAAATCCTGTAGAAAATATCATCGATTTATTGCAAAAAGTCATTAAAAGTCATTTCATAACCTCAGAGAATTTCATCATTGTGAAATAACAAAATTTTTCACTAAGTGTAACTATATATGATAAATAAGTGTGTGTGTATGTGTAATTTTCATGCAATTATGGTGTTTTTGTTTGGATAAATAAAGTCAAAAATTAAAAAAATGTATTTAAAAGTTACCTATGTCAATAATGCATTTAATGAGTTTTTGCAAAAAACCTACGATATATCAATAGCTGTTGTCTGTTAATATTATAATTTTAAGCACAAGCTAATTAAGCTATCATATTTTGGTTTTATCTTCAAATAAAGCTCTAAATTTTGTATGTACCTTCTAACCTATCAATTTAAAAATAGAGGTTTTAAATTACTGCAGGTTTGCAAAAAGCATTGGAACTTATGTTAGATTCATTCCACTTGTTAAAGGTTTCGATCCCTTATGCATAGCAAACAGCGAAACATTCCATGATGTTCAGGCTGTAGACATAATTTTGGGAACTATCCAAGTTGTCTCCGTCAGTATTCCTGAAGCTTTCCTGTCTATGCGCCTCCTCAGAATAATAATTATCAATTTGAAAATATCCCTTTGTTACTCTTTAACCTTATCCAATTTCTACTAAGTCTTTCGTCTAAGCAATCGTCAATACATGGCAGTATTAATCCTAAAAAAATTAAATAAACAGACTTGCATTTCGAAAGAATGAGATAAAATCGTGCATCTTATAGAATATTAATTTCTGGTAATAACAGGATTCGGAGATTTGTAATTTTCTCTTAGCATTAACAAAACAAATCTTTATTCCCTAAATCTGTACTGCTGATAACGTAATAAATCAAAAGAAAATGAACGAAAACCTTATATATATTTTTTATTTTTATGTATCTCTGCTATATTAATCCTTTCTTTAAATATCGACCTTCGTGTTCTTTTCCCAGAACATTCAAGCATTTATTAATAAAACTATTGCGATATTGCTAAATACATATATTTTGTGTTTCAAACTTTTATTGGAAAATATTACAAAATACAATTTGGGGCTGATGAATAGTAAGATTAGATGGTTCAAATTTAGTTAATACATACAAGATAGAACAAAATAAAATTAAGCATAAATTAAACTCTTTTAAATCATTCTCATCCATATTTACACTCTGTCTGAAGAAGCTTCTTCAACTTGTATGAGGAAAAGGCAATATCCGCCTATAATAAAAGCAATATAACAGCATTGCTGATGTTGAAAGATAGAAGAGAATGATGGGCCAGGTGGTAATGGCCGTGCGCGTTAAAGCGTAAAATTAAATATTTTCGACTCTATCGACGCTGGTTGGAATATGGAAGGGGCAGGATAAAATTCCTCTTCTCTTCATATACCAGAAATGGCGAGATAGGGAGTAATCGAAAATAAAAGATGAAGATGCTTTAAAAGCCCGAGGCCCTATGGACGGAGACGAAGAAACGGGCCACTCAAGGGACCCAAGTAGCCATCATTCACGAAAGATTTCCTGCTGTAATCTTCAATGGGGATTATACTTTTGAGTGGCGCTGAATAGGGATCGAGCAAAGGGATTTGGTCGGGTGGAAAGATTTTAATGAATTACACATATAAAAAAAACTAAACTGTGATATTGTAAATAAATGTGTAAAATATTAAAAGCTTATTTTATTTTTTGTAACCGATAAATAAAACACAGATAATCTTTTATGATGGTTGATAAAGAGTTTCAAAGACTTTTAGGGATCAATAAATAAAAATGATTGCAAGGTCTTGTATTGATTAAACACAGACCAAAAAAAATATCCATTCATATTATAATGAATCATTATTGAAATAAATGAATTTGTTCAATGTAACGTAGGTTTCCTTCCTTGTGATTTACCTTCCTTTGTTAGTTACCTTAATTAAGGAATTATGTATATGTTTATGATGTCATTGATTCTTCTAGTTCTTAATAACATTTCATGTTTTTTGCAGCGGATATGACAGCAACAGAGACCGGTGGTGAAGAAAAGAAAGCGGTCGAAAGTCAACCCCTTAAGGATGACGGCCCGCAGACAGTCACAGCCTACGTGGCCTTGCCCCCCGACGGTGGCTGGGGATGGGTTGTCGTCGCGGCTTCCTTCTTGTGCAACGTCGTCGTCGACGGGGTCGTCTTCTCTTTCGGTGTCTTCCTCAACCCGATTGCGGACGAGTTCAACGTATCAAAGTCCAAGGTGACAATTGCTGGGGCTCTGCTCTCTGGGTTCTACCTCATAGCAGGTACTTCTTATATTTCATTAACATTTATTTAATTTAGCTATTTTCTTAGGGTTAGTTACTATTTTATAATAATTTAGATCTGAATTCGACTGGCAATGGAATATTATTTCATCCATTTTTGATTAATTTATACCATTGAAATATATCAAACATTATTTTGTATTGTTTGTATTTGGTTTTAGTTTAAAAAAAAAATATATCTGGTGTAAGTATTACACAACTTCCTCTTACCACTCTAATCTGAGCAGATTCTTTTTCTGCTAAATTGTTAACAACCATCGTTAATGTAGCAGAAAGCTATACTTTAAAGAAAACTTTTGTTAATTTTAGTCATATTTATGAATTCCAAAACTCATTAAGTGCACCAACATAACACTAACCATACTCTATACAAAAGTAGTGAGATTAAATGGAAAATGCATTGTGATTTTATGGAGGAAAAATTCATCAAATTAATTAATTATAAATTGACATATTATCTCTTCAGCCCTTTATCAATTAATAAAATATCTAATTTGGGCATGTTAAAAGAATGTCTCTCGAAACATTTCGGAAGATAAAGATGGAACTGAAAATAGAAGGAAAAGGGAAAGGCGGGGTGGAATAAAGCCTAACGAGCAGCCTTAGACGCTGAACAATTGAAAAATATTTGAGGAGGAAAACCGTATTAGTAAATTTATTAATAAAAGAAAAAAATCTGTGTCTATAACAAAAAGTGCAGAAAAAAAAGAAAGAAAAAGAAGTGTATCCACCTATCTATCAAATATCTCCACAATAAAAAGATTTCTACAATTCGAGCTTCTGTTATTTACGCCCCAGATGGTAAGTTATTTCAAAGCGATGCATAATAAACGAACCTTCTCGCAATAATGAAGTTGATATAGAATAAAATTGTCTGAAATGATTTAATACAAATAAATGTGTTCATCTAAGTGTGATTACATGAATGATTTGCGGTTTTAATACCAATTACTGTCCAGGAAAAAAAAGTGAGTAGTAGGGCCGTCTCTAAGATCATTTTTCTTTACAAAACATGAAAAATTATTCAGTTGTTTAATGAAGTATTTAATTTATCAACATATCAGGGCATGGGGAAAAGTCTCTAGATCCCCAAAAGGATCATTCCAAAATATCTAATCAAGTTATTTTGAGGGGTTGTAGAGTAGCACAAATAAAAAAAAAGATAGAAAAACTGACAAACAACTTGAATATAATTTTTTTTTAACGTTATATACCCAAAAAATTATTATGGTATTTTTCTTCTTAGAAAACAACACTGCATACCTATTTTCTGATAATTAGGTCTGAAGGGACGGCTGTAGTTAACGAAATGTGCACCAAAATGTAGAGGAGATCAGATATCTCAGAAAATTACACAATTATAGAATTAATAGAATTATATATTACGGCCGGATCCCGCCTTTAACCATCTATAATCCAGCCATTTTTGCTTCTTTGATTACATGGTAAAATTTCAAAACCTATTAAAAAGAAGTGGAATGCAGCAAATCACTCACTCATAGGTTTATTACAACATTTGCATGATTTTCTTTTCTATTTAAAAGCCCATTTCACAAATCAAGTGTCATTTATAGAACTAGATTATTTTTTTTCATCTCAAGCCATGGGCGCGGGACTTCGGAGGAGGTCTCAATATGATCCGCGGGGCAAAAAGTTTGGTGACCCCTTCTCAAGGGGTTTGAAAACTGGTATACATAAGCTCATTCCCCCCTCCGTTGACCTTCGATACAATGCAAAAGGCTATTATTTCTAATATAATTTAAGTCTACACCAACAAGGCCGATGAATTAATTGAAACGTTCCTAAGCAGCAATTTAATTGTTTTTCATCGTGATTATTATCCGATGATTCAACGGTCCTTGGCCTCAACAGTTCTTCATTTAGACATGTTCGCGGCTGCCCTTCTACAGGCCTCACCCAAAAACCGAAGATTGTCCTCCACATACTGCTGCCAACCTCTCTTCCTCTCACCATCGTTTTAAAATCGTGTTCCATTCATTGTATATGTTACACACATCTCACTCTGCCCCTCTATATGGTGGAAAAATATAATTTCTCAGTTCATTTTTCGCTCGCCAAACAATTCCTGTTTTAATTGGGCTGTACATATATCTAAGATTTTTCTTTCCCACGTGTTTAACAGCCTACCTCTTTTATTGTTCGCCGACAATAAGATTTTAATAACTTGAGAAATATACGTATCATAATTCATACGCAAGAGGTCACATTGCTTCTCAGACATATAATTGATCGATTATTATTTTTTTTCTAATAATAATCGGCTATATGTATACATGTCGGCTATAAGATATATATATATATATATATATATATATATATATATATATATATATATATAAAATTATACAGCATATATACATGTATATATATATATATATGTGTGTGTGTGTGTGTGTGTGTGTGTGTCGTTTTCCGGTATCTATAAGTAATATTGGTATATTGAATGAATCCAACTTGATTTATCTACTGTAACGGATACCTTTGAACGATCCTTACATCTTTTAGGGCACTTAAGATTCAAATATTGGAAAATTACTTTTTTTTTTGCTAACCATGAATATATTAACCACATCTTCATCTCCAAAATATTGTAATCAGCGCATTCGGTATAAGTATTGACAAAAACATTCCACACTAATTTAGGCAATTTTATTTTGAATTTTCAACTAAAAAGTTCGGTTAGGGCCATTGCTTTTCTCACTATTTTTTTTCGGATTTTGTGTATTTCGGATTAGTTGTATTTTCCTTCAAAATTTCTTTAAACGAGGATGTATTGAATTTTATGTATGTGCGGGATACAATAAAACTACTGGTTTCTCCGTACGAAAAGTCACAACATTTTTATTAAGGCTGATGCTCTAGCTACCCAGAAAATTTCTATGAAGTACCAAATAAGATTTTTATTTAGCATAAAACAGTAGTCACGTTTTCGTGAGATAATAATTTGTTTATTCACTCAATCAATTCCGTTTTAAAAATTATTTTTAAACTTTCAGCTATTATAAGTTTAAAAATGGAAATTAAGTGTTCATGTTGTTTTCCTATTCCAAAAGTGCCTCGTACTTAATCTAAGCTCATACGCTTCGCACTAAAGAATTTCAGGTTAGACTAAGCGATTACAGGAACATCTTGACTGGAAATTCTTAGTAGAATTCCTGGTATTTTTTGTTTGTAATTATCCGAAACACCCTGTTAATAACCTCATTCTTTTGCTCTTTGATAGTACATTTTAAAATAAAATGTATTGAATTATTTTATAGTTTTACTGAGTAAAATAAAACATTCATACGTCGCAAAATTGAGCCATCATTTTGAAGATCATTTTCTCTTTTAGTGCCGAAAGATAAACATATCTTCCAGAAAAAGCACAGACAAATTTATTTTAGCTGGAAAGAAAATTTTATTTTCGCGTAACTTAAAAACCATAAAGTTTATAATAGATTACAGCCGAGAAAAATCAGATAATAATTAGATACAGCCTCCTGAAATTAATTTATATATTTTGATTTATTATCTTCAATAATCAGCCACTGTAATTGACCAAAAAAAAATTAATTCCTTTGTTCCATGATACATTTTGCATTTACTTATTTTCATATTATATACTCTTGCGAATTATTCCCACGGTTCAGCTTTTAGAACATTAATCCTTGGATGTTTTTTAAAGAAGAAATATTTTTTTGGTTTGCAAATTAACAATAAATAGTAAGAACAAAATCGATGCTGATAATGCTTTAAAAAAGAAAATCATTCTCGAGTTCTCGAATAAATTTGCTATATGCTGACGGACATATAGTATCTGTGACATAAATAGAACTTCTCACAAGAAGTTATAATAAGTGAATAGAATTTCAGTCCATAAATTTCCCTCCTATATTGGCAATCCATGCTATCTAGGTTTTAATATATTATAAACTACTTAATTCTCTCATTTTACTTTTTTATTTTTAGGATTTACTTCTTTATTGATAAATATTACAATCTGTCTCAATTAAGGACACTTATAATAGAGTTTAGAGAGCTTATTCACACCATATTTACAAATAATAAATAAATAAGGTAATAACAAAATAATATACAGCGAAATAAGAACAAAATAAAATATCATAATGAGGGAAGAAAATAATAATAATAATAAAAATAATAAAATGTTCTTAAAAAATAAAATAAAACATCTTATACCCAGGCGTACCTATATACACTATTTACAATCAGTCAGGAAAACTCCAAACCAGATTTGTCCGTCCACTAGTGGAGGGAAAAACAAGGCTTCAGGAGATCCCTGCGCTTCTCCCTCAACCACTTTACTGGTAATAAAAGTTGGCGGAGGCTGCGTAAGTGCGCTAGAGCCACAGACACTCATTACTTAAGGGGAGAATCTGTTCATTGCCCGAATTCCAATATATACATGTTACAAAAGTTTACGGAGCAACTGCCTTTTTAATTCTACTTTATTTAGCAACTGCCATTCTATTTTAAAAGTGGATTCCTGCTTGTTCGCTGCGAAATTAATCATACCTTTGTTTTTGATTTTATTGATAAAATTGCGCTGAAAGCATATTTATTTATTGGCTACTTCCCCTTCATCAATCTGGAGAAATAATACATATGGACCTATTTAGGAATAAAACGTAAAACATAAACTTATCGTTACTTTACCATGGTTTGGGATAACCATAAATTATATTAATAAATGAATATATAAATATAAGATAATAGAGGAATATAAATACAATTAATTGCTATGTTCCTTTCTTACTTTATTAACTTTCAAAAATTTCTTAATGCAGATTTTATTTATTTCACGATTTCACTAATTCTAACTTTACCGTGCATTCCCCACACTTGAGAGTTTCATGAGTTTATCTACAATCGTTACAAAATGGTATGTGGGAATGTTTTCTCCTCTAAACCTCCAGAATCCTTAATGAATGGGAACATTTCCCAGGAAGCGGGAA